CCTTGGGGGTAGGGGAGAGTATTTCTTCAGAGGCCACAAATTAAAATCCTACCAAGCTGAATTAGGGTTAAGGTCTAATAGTGAGGAGCCTAGGGGGCAGGGTTGAACCCCTAAAATCCAGCCACGTTTTGCTACTTCACCACTTCTGTTGATTTCTAACTTTTCTGATGTGATCTGAATAGGCGAGGATTCTGTTCACTGGGTTCCAGCTAGATAGGGCATTATGGTGTCCAAATAGTTGTCATTTTGAAGAGATTCCACACATATTCCCACAACCTCAGAACATTCTGGAAATGCCCCCTTTTTTTTTTTTTTTGAGACAGAGTCTCACTGTGTTGCCCGGGCTAGAGTGCCGTGGCGTCATCCTAGCTCACAGCAACCTCAAACTCCTGGGCTCAAGCGATCCTTCTGCCTCAGCCTCCCGAGTAGCTGGGACTACAGGCATGCGCCACCAGGCCCAGCTAATTTTTTCTATATATTTTTAGTTGTCCGACTAATTTCTTTCCAATTTTAGTAGAGACGGGGTCTCGCTCTTGCTCAGGCTGGTTTCGAACTCCTGAGCTCAAACAATCCGCCCGCCTCGGCCTCCCAGAGAGCTAGGATTACAGGCGTGAGCCACCGCGCCGGCCCAGGAAATGCCCTTTTGAGACTGCTTTTATGAGCCCCACATTCACTCAACAGGCACCAAATCATCGTTGCGCTACTACTATGCCACGTGCCAACTGGGGCATACAAATAATTTCCACCTTCTCCTCACCCACAGGAAGCTCACAGAAAGGCAAGGCCCAGCCTCCAGAGTAGAATTCTCCTTTGTTTCCGACGGGTGTTGCAGGCGTGAGGAACCCCTGGTTTGCCTCATCAGGCTTCCAATAACGAGGCTGTCAGCAGAAATCAAAGCCACCCTCAGAATGAAGACTGGCCTCTTTGTTTAAACTACTGACGAGACACTGTACGTGGCCCCCTGATGGTGCCTGTCTGTAGGGACAGATAGATCCTGCTTGTGTCCTTATATCCCCAGCACAGTGGCTGATTCATAATGGCAACTCGTAGATCTATTTGGTGTTCGCTGAGCGGATATTAACGAGCTCCTTTATTAAAGCAGTTTCCAAGGGGCAAGCCACAAGAGAGGTCTTGAGCAATGGCAGCTTCAAAGGATGATCCAGGCCTCCCGGGACTTCGGGTTTGGGGGAACCTGAGGTCACTCAGATGGCAAAGATCTGATGTGTTTGGTAGTGTCTTGTCTCACAACCTCCTTGTGTATTTCCCATGTGCGGATAAGGTAGGATCTTAGTTTTCCTAGAACCTGGCTTGGCTTGTTTTGGGGTGTGTGATTGAGCTAGTTCCAAGGGGTGTGAGGGGAGGGGAATTCGAGACTAGACACGCCAAGGCTGGTTAGCAACTTTCTGCTAAGTCAGGAGCCCTGGAGAGAGGTTTCCCAAGCTCTATCCTGTCTTGCCTGGGTTGTTTGGGTTTTTTTTCTTTCTTTGCATTTTTAATGGAGGTATAATTTAGATACAGTAAAAGTCACCCAGTTTCATTTACAGTTCGAACATATCCACTCATGTAACTACCACTGCAGTCAAGATACAGAACATTTCCATCATCCCCCCAAATTCTCCTATACCCCATCTGTAGCAGATCCCAGCCCCTGGCAACCACTGAGCTGCTTTTTGTCCCAATTGTTTTGCCTTTTCCAGAAGGTCATATAAAATGGAATCGCACAGTCTCTCTGGCTTCTTTTGCTAACATGATGCATTTGAGGTTCATGTGCATTGTTTCCTATATCCATGGCTCGTTCCTTTTTATGGCTGAATAGTATTCCATTGTGTGCTTTCAGAGCCAAATGGGATCACATTTGTTTCTCCATTCATCTATCGAAGGACGTTGAGGTTTGGCTGTTGGTAATTATTAGTAAAGCCTCAGTAAACATTCACTCTTACATTTTTACATATAAACAGGTTTTTATTTCACATGGGTATCCCACCAGAAGTGGGATTGCTGGGTCATAAGGCTGTTGTGCTTTTCAAGGTCTTTTTGATGAAGAGTTGAAGAGAGTGGTAATGCAATTTTTTTGGAAATTAAGGTTTTATGGTCATCTGAGTCACTAGTACTCAGTATGCTAAACACTTCAGCATTTTACTCGCTGAGTGACCTTGGGAAAGTCACATGACCTCTCAGAGCTTCAGTTTCCCCACCTGTAAAACAGGGGTGATGATAGTCTAACTTCATAGGGTTGTCGTGACAATTATATGAGTTAACATTCATCAGGCACTTGGAACAGGCTTGGCCATGTCAGTGTGAGATATTATTATAATGTCATATGTCATTTCCTGGCCCCTTCTCAATGGCATCCACATAGCAACACAAGGAGGTAAAATCTACTCTTCTCCCCACTTCATGGAGGACAAACCTAATGCTCTGAGAGATCACACAGGCAGAAAATGTGTAAATAGTGGGTCCAGGATTTGAACTAAAGCAACGGACCCCAGACTCACGTGCTTGGTTCCTATGTCAGCCAGGGTTTTACCAAAGAAACAGAACCAGTAGGGTGTGTGTGTGTGTGTGTGTGTGTGTGTGTGTGTGTGTTAAGAGATTTAATTTGAGGAATTGACTTACATGGTTGTAGGGTTGTAGGGGTTGACTACTCTGAACCCTGGGCAAGGGCTGATGCTTCTTCTGCAGGCAAACCTCAGTGTTTGCTTTTAAAGCCTCTGGATTGACAGGATGAGGCCCACTCACATTATTGAGGGTCATGTCCTGTACTTAAAGTCAAGTAATTATATGTAGATGTTAACCTAACCACATCTACAAAATGCCTTCACGGCAACACCTAGGTTAGTGTTTAATTGAATAACTAGTTTCTAGAGCTTAGCCAAGCCGATGCAAAAAACTGACCATCACAGCTTCTCCAAGCTGAAAACCAGTGTGATCTGCTGAGGGTTCTCTAGAGGCTACTTTTCTAGTAATATTCTGAAGGGCCCAGTGAGAGTCCAGGTCCAAGTACCATATCCATAAGGAGAGTTATCGGGTTACTTTGTTTTGTTTGTTTAAATAGTTAAAACTTCCTGAATGTGAGTAGGACATGGTGGCTCGTGCACCTATACTCGGGAGGCTAAGGCACAAAGATCGCTTGAGCCCAGCAATTCGAGACCAGTCTAGCCAACATATTGACATCCCCATCTCAAAAAAAAAATTCCTGAAGATGACCCAGGCTCACTCAGGGACAGGGGAGTTCCTGGCCCTAGGGTTGCCCCCAAACACAAAGACATCCCTTGCCCAGTGACCACCAGTGTGATGAGAAACATTAGTACAGCCAGAAAGGCCCACCCAGAGCCATGTTAAGGTCTTTGGAGGCTGCCATATCTATAATTCTAAATTAAATTTATATTATAGAATGCTAGCATATAAGTGTGAGGAAGTCCACAAGCTCTAGGTTTTTCCCCATAATGATGACTCTCTCCTGCTAGTTATTTACGTAAATTTTTAACCAGCAAGTTCTCTCCCCCCATGGTTGCTGTGCTGTGCCAGTGGGCACGCAGCCCCAGCCCCATCCAGTGTGTGTCCTGGTCCAGAGTCCTTGCTGGTTACCTCGGGGTCAGCGAGTGGGCAAGGGGAGCCAGAATTCCCCCGCTGGGCAGCAGGGGAAGGCCATGGTCTTTTTTCTTAGGAGTCCCCACCTGCCCAAGGGCAGCAGCCACTGGAAACTTTTACCTGTGATGCTGCCAGGAAGGAGGCAGTGGCTGAGCAGCCCATCACTAAACAAAACTGTTAGTCACCCCCTTTGACAACACTTCCTTTGTGCCAGGCCTGTCCTGAGCACTTCACAAATGTTGACTCATGTAAACTTCATGAGTAAACTTCAAAGCCCTTAGGAGGCAGATGCAACTGCTAGCCCCATTGTACAGATGAGGAAACTAAGGCCTCAGGATGGCTTAGTAACCAACACAAGATCAAGCAGCCCAGGCAATGCCGGAACCGGGAATGAAACCCAGCTGTCTGACCTCCCTCCCGTCCCTAGGCCCTTCCCAGGTGGAACCCTTTTCTGAGCCTCCTTTTCCCGTCAGCCTTGTCTTTGACCACAGGCACTCCAGGCTTTCAGAGCCAAATGGGATCATGTCACCCACAGATGAGGAAACAGAGGTCCTGAGAGGTGCATGACACACCCACGTCCCCCGAGTCATAAAGGTAGTTGGGAGAGAAGGAGAAGCCCCTGCGTACAGGGAACGTTTATGAAGCGTTGACTGCGACAGTGTGCCAGACATGGTTCCAGGCACTGGAGAGCCAGCGCACACGGGAGGACACAGGCCCTGCCCAGGTGGCGACCCCAGACTGGGAAGGAGGAGACATTTAGCATGAAAGCCAAGGAACAAGATAATTCCAGATCTGGTGGCAAGTGTTCTTGAGAAGGCCATAAAGTGAAAGGCCGAGGGGTGGGTCCCCCGGGAAGACCTCCTGGAGGAGGGGTGAGCTTTGGCAGTGCTGAGGCTCCCAATGGCATTCTCCCCACAGCCGGGAGAAGAGGGAAGGTGTACACTTTTATTTCCATATTCTAGAAGGGGGCACCGGAGACAGACAGAGGTTCGGCGACTTGCCGACAGTCACCCTGCTAGACCACCACCACCAGACCCTGACAAAGTGAATGGCACGTTCGTTGTCTCCTGGGGAAGGGGCGGAGCCGTCCCAAGCCCCGCCCCCTGCCTGGAGCGGCGAGTTCCAGGCAGGGGGCGGAGCGCGTGGCAGGCCGGGTCATCGGAGGCAGTGAGAGAACGTCGCGATTGGCTCGCCCCGGAGGGTGGGCGGGGCCTCCTCAGGCCAGTACGTGCGCCGCAAGGAGGCGTTGCCGAGGGCAGAGCGAGAAGGGGCGTGACCCCGCGCGGGCGGCCGTTGGCGGCGCGGCCCCGCCCCGGATGTCGCGCGTCGCGGACTCGGCGGCGGCGATTGGCCGACACGGCGCCGGGGGCGGAGCGGAAGGTTCTGGAGGGGGCTGGCGGGCTCTGGAAGCTTCCGCCGGACGGGTATATAGAGTCCGGGACGGGGCGGCGGCGGAGCCGGAGGACGGCGACAGCTGGGTGGCGGGCCGCAGGCGGGGGCCATGGGCAAAGACTACTACCAGATCCTGGGCCTGGCCCGCGGCGCGTCGGACGAGGAGATCAAGCGGGCCTACCGCCGCCAGGCGCTGCGCTACCACCCGGACAAGAACAAGGAGCCCGGCGCCGAGGAGAAGTTCAAGGAGATCGCCGAGGCCTACGACGTGCTCAGTGACCCGCGCAAGCGCGAGATCTTCGACCGCTACGGAGAGGAAGGTGCGTGCGCGCGCGCGCGCGGCCGGGGGCGCGTCCCGCCGTTTGACAGGCGGGGAAACCGAGGCACGCCGGCAGCACGCTGCCGGCCCCTCCCAGGGGGACTTCTCGGGCCCGGGTGCCGAGCAGCCTCCGAGCTTCGGCCGCGCGGGCCTCCGCCCTCGGATTGGCGGCGGCCCGATGAGGGGAGGAGCCCTGGCCGCGTAACTCGCGCAGAAGCTTCTAGCATGTCTGGGGCTGCCCCTCCCAGGGCGCCTCCTCCCACGTCCGGGAGCGGCCCCGGGGTGCGGTGCGGACGGCGAGGGGGACGGGGACGGCTGGGCTGAGTGTGGAGAGCCTCGGGCTCACCTGGGCTCGGCCGCCAGGGGCTGCAGGGCGGGGCCTCGGGCACAACCTGCGGGGAGTGAGGGAGGCTGCGGACGGGGCGCCGGTCTCTCGCGGGCCCTGCAGGGTGCAGTGAGGTAATCCCTGGGAGGCGATTACCTACCCCGGTGCCAGCACGCAGAAGGCAGCGGCGCCGATCGCGGCCCTCCAGGTGCAGGGGGCGGCGCGCCCGCCTCTGCCCGGCCCCACCAGGGTGGCCCTCCCGAAGGAAAGGAAGCGAGGCTTTCTTGTCCAGTTGCCCGTTGATGACTCAGACTGGCTTCTGGGCCTGATCTTAAGAAATGAGCTGACTTTTTAGGTACGAATGGTGACAGTGAATGCTAGGGTGTGAGAAGTTGGAAATTCCCCATCTGATTGGTTTCTGCTTTCATTTATTTCTACTGTCCTCACACGTGACGTCACTCGCCCTAAAGTATTTAGAGTAAACACGTACTGAAAGCTGACCCTGGGTTGCACCTTTCTTAGCCAACTCTCTTGGGCAGTCTTTCTTAAGCCTTGTAATGTTACGAGGAGGGTAGATCAGTCGAGAAGTGGCGGGGCCTGGGTGGCACCTAGAGGTGGCCACCCAGAGCTTGAGCCCTTTGCCGCTGTCATGCCAGGCCGGAGTGCCTGCGGGGGTCTGTCTCTGCTGCAGTGGGAGGTAAAAGCTTGGGGTTCTTTGCTCTTCCCTGACAGGCTAAAAAAAGTTCCTCCCCCATGGTTTCCAAGTTTTTTTCCCTTACAGGAAGCTCTTAGAGATAGAAGCTCCTGGCTAGCTCTCTGACAGCTTCCAATTTTGCCTTTCAGGCCTGAAGGGTGGTGGCCCCAGTGGTGGTAGCAGCGGTGGTGCTAACGGTACCTCTTTCAGCTACACATTCCATGGAGACCCTCATGCCATGTTCGCTGAGCTCTTCGGTGGCAGAAATCCCTTTGACACCTTTTTTGGGCAGCGGAATGGGGAGGAAGGCATGGACATTGATGACCCATTCTCTGGCTTCCCCATGGGCATGGGTGGCTTCCCCAACATGAACTTTGGACGCTCCCGCTCTGCCCAAGAACCCACCCGAAAGAAGCAAGATCCCCCCGTCACCCACGACCTTAGGGTCTCCCTTGAAGAGATCTACAACGGCTGCACCAAGAAGATGAAAATCTCCCACAAGCGGCTGAACCCTGATGGAAAGAGCATTCGAAATGAAGACAAAATCTTGACCATCGAAGTGAAAAAGGGGTGGAAAGAAGGGACCAAGATCACCTTCCCCAAGGAAGGAGACCAGACCTCCAACAACATTCCAGCTGACATCGTCTTTGTTTTAAAGGACAAGCCACACAATATCTTCAAGAGAGATGGTTCTGATGTCATTTATCCTGCCCGAATCAGCCTGCGGGAGGTAAGGCGCTAGGAGGTGTGGTGTCTGTGGAGGGAGACGGCTGCTTTTTGAAGCGGTTCAGTATTTGCTCAACAAATGTTTCTGAGCATGTAGTGCATCCTAGATTTGGGGCATAGCAGCGAATGGCACTGACCAGGGCTCTGTTCTTCCAGAGCTTCCATGCTGGTGACATGAGCAGATTTGGGGGCAGGGTCTTAGTTTCAGAGGCCTGATGGATCTTACCCCTACACCAGACAGTCTCTGGGTGAGAGTTGAGCTTCCTAAGCCGTCTTTCACCTAATGCTGTTCCCCATCTAATGTTGTCCCTTTGCTTTCCAAGGCTCTGTGTGGGTGCACAGTGAACGTCCCTACTCTGGAGGGCAAGACCATACCCGTTGTATTCAAAGATGTCATCAGGCCTGGCATGCGGCGAAAAGTTCCTGGAGAAGGCCTTCCCCTCCCCAAAACTCCTGAGAAACGGGGGGACCTCATTATTGAGTTTGAAGTGATCTTCCCGGAAAGGATTCCCCAGACATCAAGAACCGTACTTGAGCAGGTCCTTCCGATATAGCTGCCTGCATTCCCCAAGGACTGACCAGGGACCTTTCCAGAGCTCAAGGATTTCTGGACCGTTCTGCCAGTTGCGAACCATGAGAGGGCGGGAGGGCCCAGGGAGTGCTTTCGTACTGCTGAATGTTTTCCAGAGAATATATTACAATCTTTCAAAGTCGCACACTAGACTTAAGTGGTTTTTCGAACAATAGGGAGCAGACAGTGGGACCAGCAGGAAAAGGCATTCCAGTCTGCCCCACTGGGTCCTACAGCCCTCCCAGGAGGGGCCCACGCCCTCCTTCTCCAGTCCCCACCCAGGGGCAAGAGGCAGACCAGCAGCTGGACTTGATCCCTCTCTTTGTAGCGGCGTCGACCTGCTGTCTCAGTTGCCAGACCCTTGTACACACTTGGTTTCTGTTGTGTGATCAGTTTGTGTTTTGTTCTGTATTTGACTCCCACGTCTTGTTCTTCCCTTGAAGAATCCTGTCTTCTCTTTGGCCATCTCAAATTGAGAACCTAAACTTATTTCTGCAGAACTGCCTGGCCAGCGCCCACAAGCAATACCTCTTGTTCCTGCAGGACCAAGGGAGCCAGTCTCCAGTGAGACGCACGGCCCCCTCTCCCTCAGGGGTCTGGGAGCTTGGCTAAAGCAGGGGGACCTCCTGACTTCTGGCTCTGGTGCGACTGAATGTGCTCACTTATGGGCCACACTCTTTCCTTTTCTGTAAGGCAATCTTTGGGCACACCTGTGGCTTACTGGTGGCCCAGGTAAATTTTTTTGTCTCATGGACTCTGGACTTCTTCAAAGGGATCTGATCCTTTTGAATTTTGCACAGCCCTAGATATAATCCCTTTTGATAAAAGGGTCTTTGCTTCTGATTACAGGAGCACTGTGGAACGTCTGTAAATATGTTTTTATAATTCCATGTAAAATCGGTGTGCACTCAAATGAAACCAGTCCACGCAGCCGCTGCTCTCTGTATTAGGGCCGTGGGGAATTCAGAAGAAACCTTGCGGGGAGGGGGTTGGAACAAATGTCCGTTCCCTGGAGGCTGGTCTGGTGCTCAGACCTTTAGATTCATTGTAAGTTGCCACTGCCAATATGAGACCAAAGTGTGTGACTTGTCAGTACGCAGCGTGACAGCATTAAAGACTGATGCTAAACCTCAGGGGAGTGGTCCTGCGACTCTGTTTGAGGGCTCTGCTGTTTCTGGGGATGGGGTGGGGACCTGGGAATCCCTCCAAAGGCAGCCGAGGTGGGAGGGAGGGCTGGGCAGGAGACGGGAGCCCTGGAAGGGGAAGACAAGTCTCCTTTCCTAGCCCTGTGTGGGTTAGAAAACTTGAACCCAACGAGACCCAAGTGCAGTGGATTCGGAGCTCAGATTTCTGGTGAACGTTGGGGCTAGAATTCGGGAGGGGGCAGGAGCTGGCGTGTACTTCCCCTTCTTGTCTTGCAGGGCTCCCGACTGCCTCAGGGGACCTGGGCACTGGGGCCAGGGGGAAGGACAGGGTCTGCCTTCATCATTCCCGTCAGTCCTTTGCTGCTAGAGTACGCTGGGTGGCCGGCAGGCCTGGCCAAACCAGAACTAGAGCTGCAGCTGCCTAGAAGCCAGTCCAGGGCTGGCCCCACCCTGGACAAGACCCATTTCCTGCCCTCGTGTTATTCACAGGCCACCAAAGCTGCTTTTATTTTCCTAACTTTTTTTAAGGAACTGGTTTCATCACAAGGTAACTAATTACACAGGCTTAAAACGATGTACTGCTACTTTACTACAGAATGTTTTAAAGTGAGCACTTAAATAACACCGTACAAAGTCAACTTAAGAGTTGCTTTCTTTTCCCACTGAAACAATTTAACCACTGGAAACAGTCTAGGGGGAGCCCTGTCTAAAGGAACTTTCCACAATAACCAGAATGTTCTTTATATCTTTTTTTAAAATGTAAACTCTTTTTTTTTTTTTTTTTTTTGAGACAGAGTCTCACTGTGTTGCCGGGGCTAGAGTGAGTGCTGTGGTGTCATCCTAGCTCACAGCAACCTCAAACTCCTGGGCTTAAGCGATCCTCCTGCCTCAGCCTCCCGAGTAGCTAGGACTACAGGCATGCGCCACCATGCCTGGCTAATTTTTTCTATATATTTTTTTTTAGTTGTCCAATTAATTTCTTTCTAATTTTAGTAGAGACGGGATCTCGCTCTTGCTCAGGCTGGTTTCGAACACCTGAGCTCAAACAATTCGCCCGCCTCGGCCTCCCAGAGAGCTAGGATTACAGGCGTGAGCCACCACGCCCGGCCTTAAAATGTAAACTCCTAAAAAAAAATCAGTAAAATAAAAATATCAGTTCTTCAGACACTCCCACATTTCAGCTACTCAGGAGCCACACGTGCATGTGGCTAGTGGCACCTATTGGAAGGCGCAGTCTGGAGGGCTTTTCACGGAGTATAATACACGGGTCCCTTGGAAGAGCAGCCATGTTAAGCCGGGAGATGCCATCCTAGTGAAGAGGCGGCCCCTGGAATATGGGAGCCAGAAGGGATCATACCAAAAGAGATGACATTTCCTGCAGAACTGGCCCTGACCTCAGTTGGGGTCACAGATCCCCAGGGCTGCCACGGCCACCCCCAGGTCTCTCCATTATGCAGCAGGTTCCTGTGAACTTCACACTGAAGCGCCACAAACAGAGGTGCCCGAAGCCTCGGTGTACATACGGTTCTGGGAACTTCCACAAACGATACGGCCAAGCAACCTTCCCTTAGGTGTGCTTTGCTCTTGTGTGTGCGTCTGCTCGGGCCACCAGCTGGCCCGGGTTTGTACATCCACGAACCTTGCCTTCCCACTCTTGGGGCTCTCCTTCCGTGAGTTTATTTTACTTCCCCACGCTGCCTCTCCGAGTGTGTCTCAGAGCGCCTTCCGCATCGGTACGTGAGGAGTTACCCCCTGCATCCTAATCCATCATACATCATACCAGCAGGGTTCCTCACTTTTATATTATTTAAACACAGTACAACATGCAAATGTACTTTTCTTTTTTTTTCAGAGGCAGGGTCTTGCCTCGTCGCCCAGGTTGGGGTGCAGTGGCGTCATCATAGCTCACTGTCGCCTCGAACTCTTGGGCCAAAGTGATCCTCCCACCTCAGCATCCCCTGGAGTTGGGACTACAGGCACGCACCACCACACCCAGCTAATTTTTAAATGTTTTGTAGAGATGGGGTCTCACTGTGTTGCCCAGGCTGGTCTTGAATTCCTGGCCTCAAGTGATCCTCCAGCTTCGGCCTCCTAGAACGCTGGGATGTACACTTGGCCTGCAGCGAGAAGCTGAGCCCCCCACCCCTTCTTCCCTTTGGCCTGGAGTGCCCCTTCCCACTACACTGCTATAGACAAGCAGTGGCATCATAGACTTTGTCTCCTTTTTTTTTTTTTAACATGTTTTGTGCTTCCTCCAAGAGAGTGAGTCTGTGCTTATATAACCATAAGCATAATTTCTAAATTTTCAGTTTTATTTTTTGACTGTGTAATCACAATACAAAACTGGAAAGGGTACACAGAGTGAAAATCCTCCCTCCCACCCTGCCATGCAATTCCACACCCCCGAACTGGAAACGGCTTCCAGTTTCTCTTGTGCCTTTCCTCAGATGCTGCACAGAATACATTTTTCTTTTTTTACACAAGTGGTGCACACCATACACTCTGCTTATTTTTTTCTCTCACATATCATGAAAATAAGGAGCTTCCTCATTCCTATCAACCCACACCTTTAATTCTGCCAGGCCTACCCAGGTGGGTGTGCAGATCAGTTCATTGTTGGGTGGCCTCTGACTCCTCTCATTTCCTGCTTTCAGGTTTGAGTCCCAGCTCAACCACTTTCTAGCTGTGTGACCTTGAGCAAGTGACCTAACCTCTCTGTGCCTCAGTCTCTAAATGTGAAACGGGCATAAGAATAGTACCTCTGTCCTAGGTTTGTAGGGATTTCAAGATACTCAGATTCAGTTGCACGTCCATGTGCACACACACCAGGGAGGTACTGGCATAGAGCAAGCACTGCGGGCCACTTTTTGTGATCGTCACTGCCCCCTTTTGCGACGATGTCTTAGCCCACAGCTTGTAATCCCAAAGACTGAGATGAGTCTGGGGTCTTTGGGGTCAGTGTTCTTTGCTGAGTTCCAGGTGAGCCCCAGGTGAGCTGCTGAGAACCTCAGCCCAAGCCTTGGCCCTGACCCAGCCAGACAAGCCATACCTCAAGCAGGTGCACTCCCACCCCTCCACTTGACAACCTGCTCATTCAACAGAAGCAGAACAGCATCAAGCTCCAGAGCAGGGAGCCTGGGTTCCAATCCCACCTTCATTCTGCTGCTATGTGTGTCCTTGGGCAAGTGACTTCACCTCTCTGAGTCTTAGTGGCCTCCTTTGAAATGAAAGTGCATCTTGGACAAGTCTTGGGAAAAAAAAAAAGATTTATGAAATGAAAGTGTAGATTTCATAGAGATGTTGGTGAGATAATGCATCCAGGAAAAAAAAAGAATATAGGGATTAAGAACCCAGCTCCTTGGCCGGGCACGGTGGCTCACGCCTGTAATCCCAGCACTCCAGGAGGGAGGCCCAGGCAGGAGGATCACTTGAGCCCAGGAGTTCAAGACCAGCCTGGGCAACAAAGTGAGACCCCATCTCTACAAAAAATCAGCCAGGTGTGGTGCTGTGCACCTGCAGTCCCAGCCGCTTAGGAGGCCGAGGGGAGGATCACTTGAGCCCTGCAGTTTGAGATCACCGTGAGCTACGATCGCACCATTGCGCTCCAGCCTAGGCAACAGAACAAGACCCAGTCTCTAAAAATAACAAAAAACAAAAACCCAGTTTCTGGTGCCAAGTCCAAGTTCTGCTCACCGCATTCCTTCAAACAAATGACAAAACCTTTCAGAGCCTCAGTTTCCTCCCATATGGAACAACTAATCACACATAACAGCCTCTCCCTGCTCGCTCACCAAGAGCTAGAACACAGACAGACAGCGAATCCCTGAGAAGCGCCTCGTGCAGACCTGAAACAGAGCAAGGTGCAGTTAACATTAGCAAACAGATTGAAAGCACCTAGCAGAAAACCTGCCCCAGGTCTCCTTAAATATTAGCTGTTCTCATTATTTCGTATAAGGACACAGTGCCCATCACGTAATTAGCTCTGGTCGGTTCAGTAAACCTTTATCAGGCACCTACTGTGTGCTAGCCTTGTTTGTGCTGCTGGGAAGACAGCAGTGAACACAACTGACAAAAAAAGTCCTGTCCCTGGGGAGCTGATGTTTAAGTGGGAGTAGAAAGAAAATAAGAATAAATAAACAAAATATCCAATAAGCTTGATAGGATGAGAGTACAGTTGGCCCTCTTCATCCACACGTTCTGCATCCTCGGATTCAACCAACCGTGGATCAAAAATAATTCTAAAAGAAATAACAATGCAACAAAAAAATACAAATTTTAAGATATAGTGTAACAACTGTTTACATAGCATTTACATTGTATAAGTATTGTAAGTAATCAAGGGATGAGTTAAAGCACATGGGAAGATGTGAGTAGGTTACATGCAAATATGACTTATAGAAGGGACTCTGCATCCACAGACTTTGGTATCTGCAGAGTCCTGGAACCAGTTCCCCACAGATACCGCGGGATGGCTGTAATGGAGAAATACAAAACTTGTGTGTAGAGAATGTTGGGTACAATTCTAATGCCTTGCTGAGAATGGTGACATTTAAGCAAAGACTAGAAGGAAATCATAAGGAAGCTGTGTGAATACTGAGGGAAGAGTGCTCCAGGCGGAGGGAACAGCCTGTGCAAAGGCCCTGAGGCAGGAGCATGCCTGAGTTGTTTAAGGAACACCCAGCAGCCCAGAGAACTGGAGCAGTGAGGAGAGTGACAGGAGACAAGGGCAGGGAAGTGACAATACAAATGGTGCAGGTTAGCCAGGCACAGTGACTCACACTTGTATTCCTAGCACTTTGGGAGGCTGAGGCGGGAGGATGGCTTGAGGCCAGGAGTTTAAGACCAGACTGGGCAACATAGCAAGACCCCATCTCTACAAAAAATAAGAAATATTAGCCAGGCATGGTGGCACACGCCTGTAGTCCCAGCTACTCAGGAGGCCCCAGCAGGAGGATCACTTGAGCCCAGAAATTAGAGGCTGCAGTGAG